AAAAAAAAAAAAAAAAGAAGGTGCTTCCTGCCCTTGAGCCTCCTTGTAAATTGCTTCAGGGGCACTGAACAGCAAGTACAAAGCAGAGGGGGTCTGGTGTGCCTCGGCTCTTCTGCTCCACTGGTTCTACAGGTGCTGAGCTCTGAGTCCTCTCTCATTCCCAAGGCTCCCGGGCTTCTTCCATCGTGCACATCTGTCCCTTATTTTTACTCTGCAGGCCAAGCATGTCGGGACTCCACCTGGTGAAGAGGGGACGGGAACACAAGAAGCTGGACCTGCACAGAGACTTTACCGTGGCTTCTCCTGCTGAGTTTGTCACACGCTTTGGGGGGGATCGGGTCATCGAGAAGGTACAGATGGGTCTCAGTACTCTGGGTGGGGTCAGGTTGGGGTGCAGGGACCCCTTCTCTCAGCTGGAGGTGGGAGAATTGGGTTCAGGTTCATTCTGCCTGCTGCAGAAACGGGATGAAGGCCACCCTTTTGTGACACCTAATGCTGGGTGCTTGACTTGGTGAGCTTTTCATTCTCGCAACAGCCCAATGCAACAGGTGCATCGCTCCCATTCACAGATGGGGAAACTGAGACCCCTAGGTGTGGTCAGGAAGCTCCTGCAAAGAACTCTGGGTGTTTTTGGGAAGAGGGCCACTTCCTAGGTTACTAGATGGGAAACATAAGCCCAGCTCTGCATTCCTGAGGTTCACAGCTGCCTGGAGGAGAGGAGACTCACTTACTAGAATGGTAGTAAGGAAGGGGAAGTAGCTGCAATTTGCCAGTTCTGAAGGCTTTTCACATTGTCTCCTGTTCCATCTGCATAAGGCCCTGGGTCTTACATACATACTGGTTGATGATTGCTATTGTATTCATAGAGAAACTAGCATTCAGAGATTTGATGTTGGTTGTCCATGGTCAGGTAGTTAGTGGGAGGTGGAGCTGGGATTTGAACCCAGATCAGTTTGGCAGTAAGACCTTGTTCTTTTCCATTTTACTGTAGGTCATAATAATAATAACAATGTCAGTGGCAGCTGCCATTGATTGAGGGCCTGTGCCGGGGTGGGTATCCTGTGGCCTGCTTTACATCATTGTATCTCATTTAGCCATTCCCTCAGTCTGGTCAGAGGGTATTGTTTTACAGATGAGGAAACTGAGGCTTAGAGAGGGGAGATTGCTTGCCCAGTGGTGGAGCTGGGCTCCAGAACGCCCACCCTTAACCCAGCATACTAAGTGCAGTATTGAGTCATAGGGACTCACGCAGGACACAGGTTCCCAAACCTGGCTGCCACTGGTCATTTTTTTTTTTTTTTAGTTACTATTTTTGTAGAGATAGGGTCTTACTCTGTTGCCCAGGCTAGAGTGCAGTGGCACAATCATAGTTTAGTGCAGCTTTGACCTCCTAGGCTCAAGTGATCCTCCTGCCTCAGCCTCCCGAGCAGCTGGGATTATAGGTGTGCGCCACTATGCTCTGCTCGTTTTGTTTTTTATTTTTCTAGAGACAGCATCTCATTATGTTGCCCAGGCTGGTCTTGAACCCCTAGGCTCAAGTGATCTTCCTGCTTTGGCCTCCTAAAGTCTTGGGATTACAGGCATGAGCCACCATGCCTGGCCTTTACCTCTAGTCTTAATGGTTGAAAATTCACATTCCTTCACCCTGCTCCAGACCCTTGGATTTAAACTCTCCTGGGTGGAGATGCAGAAGCCGCATTTTTGTCACACTCACCAGGAGACTGTTTTACACCCAGCCCACTTGGTGGCTAGCATGGAATTCTTGGGAGCCCAGAGGTTTAGGCAGCTGCAGAAGGCCTCAGCCCAGAGCTGTTGCACTTTCTGGCTTAGGAGTTGACCTTGGCTTGCCTTCTCTTCCACACTCGTCGCGGGAAAGCTCCTGCTGTGGGGATCAGAGCCACAAGCTGGCCGGCAGCAGCCTCTCCCCCACAGCACTCCCACATTCGTTGTGCTGAATGTATGGGGCCAAGGGTAACTGGGTCATCCTTGGATCATCAGGGTCCTTCCCTCTTGACCAAGCCTTGCCTTGGTAATCAACTGAGAAAGCCAGAGCCCAGCCATTTCATCATCTCTTCTCAACAGGCATTTTTTGACAGGGTAGAAAGAACATTTCACCTGAACCAGAAACCCTGAGGTCAAATTCTAGTGCTGCCACTCATGGGTTGTGAGATCTGGGCTCAGTTTCCCCTTCTGTGAAATAGGTGATCACATCTAAAACCTCTAATGAGACTTACCCTTCAGGGCCATCTTGAAGATTAGACAGCAGTGAAGGAGGCCTTAAAATGAATAAATTTCTATGTAAGGCAAGCTTTGAAGCAATATGCCTAATTTTTTTTTTTTTAAACAAGAAAACTAAGGGCTGGGCACGGTGGCTCACATCTATAATTCTAGCACTTTGCGGGGCCAAATGGGAGGATCGCTTGAGCCCAGGAGTTTGAAACTAGCCTGGGCAACATAGCAAGACCCCATCTCTACAAAAAATAAAACAATTATATGGGTGTGCTGGCGCATGCCTTTTTTCCCAGCTACTCAGGAGGCTGAGGCAGGAGGATCACTTGAACCAGAAGGGTTGAGGCTGCCGTGAACTATGATTGCACTACTGCACTGCAGCCTGGGTGACAGAGACTGTATTAGTCTGTTCTCACACTGCTAATAAAGACATACCTGAGCCTGGGTAATTTTTAAAGGAAAGAGGTTTAATTGACTCACAGTTCAGGATAGCTGGGGTGGCCTCAGGAAACTTACAGTCACGGTGGAAGGGGAAGCAGGCACATCTTTCTTCACAAGGTGGCAGCAAGGGGAAGTGCCGAGCAAAAGGGGTAAAGCCCGTATAAAACCATCAGATCTCGTGAGAACTCACTAAACAGTAGAACATGGAGGTAACCACCCCCATAATTCCATTACCTCCCACCAGGTCCCTCCCATGACACATGGGGATTATGGGACCTACCATTCAAGATGAGATTTGGGTGGGGACACAGCCAAGCCATATCAGAGACCCTGTCTCAAAAAACAAAACAAAGAAAATAACAAAAACCTAGACCTTTGGTTTTATTTTTTAGAGACATGGCTAGGAGATTGGCCAGTTGTACCTCTTCATGTGGACGTAAAGCTCAGAGAGGGAAAAGGTGTTTCCCTCTCAGAGAGGCTTCATGTCCACACGAAGAGGTATGACAAGGCCACACAGCAAGTTCATGACAAAACTGGGAATTGAAACCAAGACCCTTGTTGTTGCTTTCTGTGGTTGAAGGCAACCAACATTGACCACTGTTCTCCTTACTGCAACTGAGACCTTTAACCTTTGGAATGCATAGACAGCCATGGAGAGCAGTTCAGAGAACAGGTGAGACTGTGGAAGGTTCAAGTCCTCACTCCGCTGTGTCACCTGGGGCAGGTGCATTAACTCCTCTGAGTTTTAATAGTTTAACCCCCAAATAGAAATAATAGTGAAACCTCTTTCAAAGGGCTCTTGTGAGGATGATATGAAATGAGGCAGGTAAAACACATTGTACTGTAAAACACAGTTAAGGGTGATCATGATGAAATCAAATGAATAAAAAAATTACTCATTGGGCTCCACACAGCACCTCATGCCTGTAATCCCAGCACTTTGGGAGGCTGAGGTGGGCAGATCATTTGAGCCCAGCCTGGGTTTGTGTTCAAGTTCAAGATCAGCCTGGGCAACATGATGAAACCCTGTCTCTGCAAAAAATACAAAAATTAGCAGGATGTGGTGGTGCACACCTGTAGTTCCAGCTACTAGGGAGGCTGAGGTGGGAAGATCACTTGAGCCTGGAAGGTCGAAGCTGCAGTAAGCTGTGATTGCACCACTGCACTCCAGCCCGGGTGGCAGAGCAAGACTCTGTCTCAAAAAAAAAAAAAAAAAAAAAAGGCTGGGCACGGTGTGGCTCACACCTATAATCTCAGCACTTTGGGAGGCCAAGGTGGGTGGATCACAAGGTTAGGAGTTCAAGACCATCCTGGCCAACATGGCAAAACCCCATCTTTACTAAAAATATAAAAATTAGCCAGGCATGGTGATGCATACCTGTAATCCCAGCTACTCTGGAGGCTAAGGAAGGAGAATTGCTTGAACCCAGGAGGTAGATGTTGCAGTGAGCCGAGATCACACCACTGTACTCCGTCATGGGTGACAGAGTAAGACTCCATCTCAAAAAAAAAAAAAAAAACGTATATATATATAATTCATTATATATAATATATAACATATATAATATATAATTATATATTATATGTAATTATTAAATTATAAATATATATATTATATATAATTATATGTTATATAAATATATAATTCATTATATATATAATTCATTCATCCATCCATCCATCCATCCATCCACCCATCCACCCATCCACCCATCCATTCATCCATCCATTTGATGATGCATTCATACGGCTGGTAGACTTTGAGCTCCTGCTCTGTGCCAGGCTGTGTGCCATAGAAATGCCTAGACATACCAGGAGGAGTGGTGTGCTGCTGGGGCGGCAGGAGGCTCTGAGCTGTGAGGTGGACTCGGGGAAGCAGGCGGCCCCCAGCGCAGTGGACGTGCATCTCCGGCTCCTCCCTCATCTTCCATCGCAGGTGCTTATTGCCAACAACGGGATCGCCGCCGTGAAGTGCATGCGCTCCATCCGCAGGTGGGCCTACGAGATGTTCCGAAACGAGCGGGCCATCCGGTTTGTTGTGATGGTGACCCCCGAGGACCTCAAGGCCAATGCAGGTACCTGGGCTTGGACCCTCTCCCCCTGCCATGCCCCATCCTTGCCTGCCCTCGTCTCCTTCCCCTGTGCCCAGGCAAGTCCATCCTGGACTCCAGACGGTCAGGACCTCTCATGAGTCTGTGTTTATTTGTCCTTCCTTCTTCATTTAATTAAAATGTCTGCTGACATCAAGAACGACCCATGTGCATTGCAACAATGCAGATGGTTAACATGCAGAGAGGAAATCCCATCTTTGAGAAACATCTGTGTTCTAGCAGATCGGGGTCTGTTTCTTTTCCTGCAGGTGTATGTACTTGTATTTCAGTCATTTGTTCATTCTTCTGCTCATTTGTCTGTTTATTATAATGAGTCATTCTATAAACAACTGTTGGATGATTTCCTTTTTTTCCTGAACAGTCTTATCCTTTTATGGGCCCTACTCCCACAGCAGCCAAAGTGACCTTTTAAAAACATAACTTATTCTGCTTTGTTTTCTGAAGATTGCTAAAAACAAAAACCTTGGCCAGAGTGGCGGCTTGCATCTGTAATCCCAGCACTTCAGGGGGCTGAGGCAGCAGGATTGCTTGAGACCTTGGGTTCGAGACCGGCCTAGGCCGCATAATAAGACTCTATCTCTACAAAAAATAAAAATAAAAAATTATCTGGGCATAGTGGCACACACCTGCAGTCACAGCTACTCAGGAAGCTGAGGTGGGAGGATCGCTTCAGCCCAGGGGGTCTAGGCTGCAGTGAGCTGTGATTGCACCACTGCGTTCCAGCCTGGGAAACAGAGTGAGACTCTGTTTCAAACAAAACAAAACAACATAAAACTGAAAACATAACTCAGGGCCAGACGCGGTGGCTCACGCCTGTAATCCCAGCATTTTGGGAGGCCGAGGGGTGTGAATCACTTGAGGCCAGGAGTTTTGAGACCAGCCTGCCCAACATGGCAAAACCCCGTCTCTACTAAGTATGTCCCCTAACAATTAGCCGGGTGTGGTGGTATGTGCTTGCAGCCCCAGCTGTTCAGGAGGCTGAAGCCCTTTGTGCAGTGGACTCCCTCCCCACCCAACCTGTAGGTCTCAACATGATCGTTGCATCTCTCTGAGAAAGCATCATTTATTTTCTTTCCAGCACTGATGTGAGTCTGTAGCTATTGTGTTTATTTTCTTGTTTATCTTCTCTAACATAAAGGAGAAACTGGACAAGGACAGGAAGCCTGTCTGGCCGCCCACTTCTTCGTCTCTGGGATCTCCCCATTGGCCAACACTTCTGTGTGTGAGAAACATAGGAGGCAGGAAGGCTGGGAAGAACAACTGCTCTAGAATTTCTCTCTGTATTTGCATATAAAGTGCCCCACTGTTCAATTTCAGGATCTTAGCAAATTCCATAGTATAGATGTCCCAACCCCTGTGTTTGGATTGGGCCTAACTTTTCCTAGTTCAAAACACTGCTCAGTGGCTTTTCTTTGACCTTGGCCTCGTTGACGTGTGGGTTGTTGTTGCTGTTTTT